TAAGAATTCAACCTTTAGTGTTCATAATGTTTGATATGTTATATAAATTTTACTATAAAATGTAATTTTAAAAAAAACTTTAAAGAGGTGTTGTTATCAAAGGAAAATCCAAAACATTTCAGGGCTGGGCTTAGGGCTCAGTGTTTCAAAACCCTAACAATCCCCCTGGTAGAAAGTAACAAATTTACTAAGAAATAAGAATAACTGAATATGTGATTAAGAAAAAAGCCAAACTAATAAATTAATAAATAAACAGAAGAACATCATAAAAATGCACTCCTGTAACAAGCTGTCATTTAGGATGGCACCGTGGTAGTAGAATCCTGAAATAGACATTTGTGGCAATGATTTTGATATATGACAATTTATGTCATCTTTTTCAATGATATTACTGAAGTCAAGTATTCAGTGCAGAGTTCAGAAATTACAAAAGAAATAGCAGGATCATATCAATAAATTATAAACAAACAACTATTAATGCCAATGATTACCCAGTGCCATGGGCAGAAAGTAATGATATACATGGTCAGAGGGCCCGGTGGCGCCAGTGTCCGGTAGCCTCGCCTCTGTCAGTGCGCCCTAGAGCGGCTGTGGCTACAATGTAGCTTGCCATTACCAGTGTGTGAATGTGTGTGTGAATGGGTGGATAACTGAATGTGTAAAGTGCGTTGGGGTCCTTAGGGACTAGTAAAGCGCTATACAAATACAGGCCATTTACCATTTACATAGTACTGGTATACACTGTTAAATGCATGACCACTGAGAAAAATCAACTGCTTGAGACATATGGTATTCTATTATTTGAAAAGTGTCCTTGGGCACCTCTACTTAGTTCTATCTGAACATCTAGATCAACCAGATAATTACAGCTAATGTGCAAACACACAGAAACTCTCCAACACGTGTGCAGGAAGCATTACTGTGTTTTTAAAGCACAGCTAATGCTAACAAAGAAGCAAAAACATATTTACATTTTTTCCATCTCTGCACCAGTGACTACTTCCATACAAAATCAATTATATACAGTTTTACTGTTTGCATTGACACTTAATAACAACAGTCTTTGCCAAACAGCCACTGTAATGTTATTTGGTGAATCTTTGTGCAATAAACTCTTACATTTTTAGCACTTCTTTGTCTTTTGTGTTCATCTGATGAGCCAAAGAGTGTCTGTAAGGGTGCATGAATGTGAGTACAGTGCAGCACAAGAACAATGTAGCTAACCACAATCGGTGATTGTCTACAGGGATATATGTACAACATTGGCACAATATACAGATATAAATAATACTCTTGTAAGATTTGTCCAACCTTTTGAGCGTCATCACAAAAATGTTCATTCAGTTCAGGCAAATGTTGTTACATTAGCATATTCTGAGACGTTACTATTAAATTATCTGCTCATTTCTGTATTTGCATACTGCTTCATCTGCAGCTGCAGAAACTGAGAGGGCAGCGTTATCAAAGACAGAGAGCAAGTAGAAGCAGCAACTGATAGAGATCAACTTATAACCACGACAGACTCTCTCAGCTGAAAGGAACATGGGGACGGGTAAGTTAATTTAGTCTAGACATATATTACTATTTCTCTTTAAACTGCATTTTGTGAAAGGTTATTTGAGTTCTTTTATAAACGGTGAATACCTGTTATTAGTTCTGTTATTAATCACAAAAGAAACTGAGTTAGATAAATGCAAATATCAACTTGCACAAAGAATTCTGTATGTGCATCACAAAAGTAGAAGTTAGTATTGCATAGAACATGTGTTGGAGCCAACTATGAAAATGCATAGCTGTATTTTGTTAATTAAAAATTACATGTGTATAATTTGGCAACAAATGTAATGAAATCCTCTTATTTTGTTCATATAATATATTGTGGAAACATGATTTGTTTAATAAAACATTTTTTGCTTTTAGATAACATCACTTTCAATGCAACTCAGTCACCTGAACAAGATGCAGCTTTCACACACATACAAACAGCCTCCATTGTCATCTACTGTGTGATATTTATAGCTGGAACTCTGGGCAATGGCCTTGTTATCTACGTGGCAGGATTCAAAATGCAGAAAACAGTTGACTCGGTTTGGTTTCTCAACCTGGCCATAGCTGACTTCCTCTTCACGGCCTTCCTTATTTTCTCGATCATTTCTCTCTCTCAGAGTCACCGATGGCCTTTTGGAGCATTCATGTGCAAGCTCAACACCTTTGTGAGTGTAGTCAACATGTTTGTCAGCATCTTTACTCTGACTGCCATGAGTTTCGATCGTTGTTTGTGTATCTGTGTGGTGGTGTGGGCACACAACAAACGCACAGTCAGCAAAGCTCAGCTTATATCAGCTGGGATCTGGGTGATCGCTGGCGTCTTCAGCACTCCTTATGCCACTTTTCGCACTGTATCAGTGGGGAACGGAGGGAAAAGTTCCTGTGATTATTCTGCAACAATCAAAGAACACAAATTGACTCTCTGCATTTTTCGCTTTGTTATGGGCTTTGTGATTCCATTCCTGATAATAGTGATCTCTTATGTGTCCATTGGTATCCGTGCAATGCGCATGCCGAGAACAAGGAGACGCAGATCTCGCCGGGTCATTTTCTCCATCATTTTTGCATTCTTCATCTGTTGGTTGCCTTTCCACATTTTCAATTTCATAGAATTGAGGTTAGAGCTCCAGGGTATTGCTAGAATCTATGGTCCTCTGACTGTGAGTCTGGCTTTTCTGAACAGCTGCTTGAACCCCATCCTTTATGTTTTCATGTGTGAAGAATTCCAGAAGAAATTTCGACAGTCCATTTGTTTTGTACTCGAGAGTGCACTGGCAGAAGACCATTTGTCATTTCTGTCCACCCGCTCCATGTCGTCAACCTTTTCAAAAGCTTCCCAAAAGTCAGACACTGCTGCCACTTTAGATCGGATCGACCCAGCCATTTATGAAAACATCCCAGAAAGCACAGTAATCATCACTGAGGGGATTCCTAGACCTGAAGAAGAGTGCACCACCAGACAATGAATATTGAAATGAATCATTGTTTTTTGTTTTACA